CTGTTTTCAACATGGTATTCCCCCTGGCTTTTTGACTACAGCCAATAACTAATATATTAAATCCAAGTTTGACATTGAACCTCACATTAGTGGGATAAAACTATTCTCTGAGTAAACTGTGATTTTAAGAAAATAATCTGATTTTGTCAAAACAGGTTTCTGGCATGAAACCTGTGAGTTTTCACACAAAAGCATAAAATAAGTACAATCTTCTGATCTCAGATATGACATTGTCTAAAGATTAGCAAATACATGAGCATATATGAATGGTTCTACTAGATGAACAGAGAAAAATAAATAAAATAATCCTGCTGCTCATAGATGTGTAACAATACACTGATCCATACTGATACATCAATTATTAGATTAGCCATCAGATTGATGCAAAATGAAAGCATCCATTTGCATCTAAAACCACATAGCTCAAGACTACAGTGAATAGGTTATTCACTATCTTTTATTATTTTTATATTAATAAGATGTTGTTTCTCAGTTGCTGTTTTTGTTCATGTTTGTTGTTTTGGCAGATAAGAAACAATTAATAGCAATAAAAAAATTTGGAATATAGGTTTTAATTATACACAATAACATAGTAAAAATATTTTGCAAAAATAAATATCCTTGACCCCGCTCCGCCCCCCAACAATGAAAGTTTAGCTGTGCCAGTGCCTGTAAGATTTTTTCTTTTAGTAAGGCAATGAATAGAGACTCAATATAAATAAATTTCGACCCACAAAACCAAGACCTCATGCAGGAAACAGTAAAGCACTAATGATGCTCAATAGAAATAGAACAGCATGATCAGATCCAGCACGACCAAATATTAAATTGCTAATGGCAGCTCTTCGGCCCACCATTAACCTCTCCTCATCCAGCTTGTAATGCTTGTATTTACTGATTAAATACATTTTCAAGAAAAAAAACATGATTAATGAAACAACACATTTTACAAGAAAATGTTCAAAGGTTGAAATGTTTCTAACTTACACTTCACAAGTTGTCCAAAATGCTGGTGAACTACACAAAATATTACAGAAAAACTGCTTCTATCTTCATCAAACACGACAAGTGTGGATTCCACCTTTGAGTCGGCGTCCCTGAACAGCAACAGGAGTAACTATGATAAAAGTGTAAAGGTGTGTTTAACATATGGATGCAGCTCCACCCCTTAAAAAAAAAGCAGTTCTATTTGTTAAGTTCAGCAGCATCCAGCCTGAAGGCAGTGATGTTATGTTAGCTGCTAAGCTCCTAGGTAACAGGAAAAAATGCATTAGTCTGACAGGCTGCAGCCAATCAGCATAGAGCAGCAGGTGATTAAGAAAGATCTGATAGAGTCTGGTGAATATTGAAGTGTTTCTGGAAAATGGAAGCAAGATTCACGACTTTACCAATTTATGTTAAGAAAGTTCAAACTAACCAGACTATTGAAACCCAGTCTAGTTTAAAATATAGCAAACTATTCTAATTCATTGGTTATTTCAATTGTTTAGAAATTGCTCCCTGATGATCTGGAGTTTAAATAGTAAGATGTTCTAATCTGTTTTAAAATTATTTCCATATTCTACCTCCATATTGATGTCATCATTACTGATAGTTTTACAGTTGCAAAACCTTTACTGACTTATTGTTCAGAAAGTTATTACGTGTCTTTGTCGTTCCCTGGAAATATGCATTATATGTAGATTTACATTGTTCAAACTGTTTCTGATCATCCACTCAGTTTTTTCATTGTGTATAAGAAATCCTGTGTGTCAGTTTATTTATGTTTTGCATCCGGTTCCTGTCCAATGGAAATTAACCCTCCAGCATCAACCCCCGTCATTGCCAATGATCTGTTCTCTGCCGTCTAAGGCAGAGGGCATCCTGTCGCGTCCACCATGTCTGCACATCAGCAGCTACGCACCATCCCTCCTTATGAAGTCCAGGTGTCCTGTGAAAGCATGTTTTTCCTCGGCCTATTTGTGAGATTAAATATTTTGAGTATGCCTTTCCATGAACCAGGGAATAAACTAAAATGATCAAACAGACAAACGGAAAACAAATAATGATTTGGCCCCATTCGAAATGAGCTTTCTCCGCAGGGTGG